AATTCTAAGAATAATCAAATCATAAGAGATATGCATAATCAAATTGATCTTCTTAAAACTGAACTATCGTTGAAAAATAACATTATTGACACTACTCAGGAAAATCTAAGAGTTACTAGTTTATCAAATTCATCGCTATCTGCTGAAATTGATAAAGTTAAATACCTCTTGAACAAAGAACAAACTGTTTTAAAACTTTGGGCTAAATCTCACAAAAATGCTAATTATATTATTTCTGTTCAAATACCTCATTCATGTGAGAAAATCCTTGGGGGAATTTTGCTGAAGCTGAAAAAGTTTTTAAATCTCAAGAAAAGGAATCTGAATTTTATTCCATGAATGAATTAAAAGATAGTTTCAAAAACAAATTTATCAGCAACACTTTATTAATCAGAGTCTCATTGATGAATACTGTGTTACTGATTCTAATGGTGTTACTGAGTGTAATATTGAATTACCGGAATTGATCCTACTTCTTACCTTGCACATCTTGAGAGACCAACTCCTCTCATTGAAAATATTATCGCATTTCATATCTCAAACGGAGTGTTTCATGCTGTTCATGAACAACTTAAACATTATCCTGATTGCAGTGCTTCAGTGCATAAGTCTAAATCTGATACTGATGTTAGCTCCTTATCCATCACTGATCATAGTTCTTCTGACACTGAATTTTGTTGTAATTCAATTTCAAATAAAAGGACTCAAAGTTCACTTAGTGCATCTTTCAAATCCAAATGTGTTAAATCTAGAAATCTGCTTACCAAGAAAAACTTTGGTACTAGAGTTTGTTACAAATGTGGTGACACCTCTCACAAGATCAGTGAATGCAAGTTTGATAAAATATCGTTAAGAGCTAACAACATCAAAGTTAGAAATGAAAGATGGACTCTTAAATCAAATTCTTTGAACTGTCTTCCTAAAGAGTGCTATAATATATTGTCAAATAACTTTGTGAATGACCCATCTTACAATGGGTCTCTGTGTTCTAACTAGTTTCTCAGCACTGCAGGGTCAAGAGCATCTTTGGTACTTAGACAGCGGTTGCTCAAGACATATGACAGGATCCACGTCTCTCCTGGAAGACTATGTCAAGAAAACTGGTCCCGCAGTAACATACGGAGACAATGGAAAGGGGTTTACTAAAGGATATGGGAACATCAAGTGCAATAATGTGGTGTTTCAGAATGTTTCATATGTAAAGGGTCTCAAACACAATCTCATCTCAATCAGCCAATTGTGTGATGCTGATTATGAAGTTCATTTTACAAAGAAGGAAGGAAGAGTCATCAACACTGACAAGAACATTGTACTCTCAGCAAGTAGAAAAGATGATATATATATGTTATTGACATGTTCTCAAGTGACAAGGCACTGATGCAATGTTTCTTTACCAAGTCTCAACCAATCTCAGCTAGATTTGGCACAAAAGGTTCTCTCATTTGAACTTTAAGAATCTATCTAAAATATCCAATCAAGATCTAGTTAGAGGTCTCCCAAAACTCAGCTTTGTCAAAGACAAGATGTGCTCAGCGTGTGAACAAGGAAAGCAAACCAAGCCATCATTCAAACCCAAGTTATGTTCTAGCATATATGTTCCTCTTACACATGGACTTGTTTGGACCTATTCCTATTCGTTCCCAAGGAGGAAATAAGTATACGCTGGTGGTTGTGGATGAGTTTACCCGATTTACGTGGGTGGCTTTCTTGAAGAAGAAAGGTCAAGCTGCACAGGAAATTATCTCATTGATTCGACAAAACGAGACACTGACTAATCTCAATGTTAAGCAGCTAAGGAGTGATCATGGCACTGAGTTTCGGAATTCGACTCTTGAAGACTTTTGTGATTTTAAAGGTATTGGGCAGAACTTTTCATCTCATCGCACGCCTCAACAAAATGGAGTTGCTGAACGAAGAAATCGAACACTGATTGAGGCAGGAAGGACCTTAATGATTCATGTTGGTCTTCCTATGTCGTCTTGGGCTGAAGCTGTTAAAACAACATGTTCTACTCAGAATCGCTCTCTAATTCACAGAGTTCACAAGAAGACACCATATGAGATGCTGAAAGGTCGAAAGTCGGACGTATCCTTCTTTCACGTGTTTGGATGCATTTGTTATATTCTTAATCAGCGCGATCCCATATCAAAATTTGATCCTAAGGCTGACAAAGGTATTTTTGTTGGATATTCGTCTATTTCAAAGGCTTTTCGTGTTTATCATGTGAACAGGCAGTGCATTGAGGAGTCCATTCATGTAAAGTTTGATGAAGAATCATACACCGATGAAAAAGTAGCTCATTCCTCTTCTATCTTTCAAGAGCTTCTCTCTTGCCCATATGATGAAGTTTCTCATACTGAAGAAGAAGCTATTACTCCTGATCCTATCGCTTCAGACCCAAGTTCTGTAAATCAAGGTACTACGGTCAGCTCGACAACTCATTTGTCCGATGCTGATGAAACCCTTGAGACTGAAGATTCTCATGCAACTAATGTTCCTTTCAGTAATAACACTTTAGTGTCAAATCCATTGGAATCAGCTCCTGGACATCGAGATCACCCTGTTGATCAAATTATTGGGAATCTTCATGATGGTGTCCGAACTAGATCTCGTGTATCTAATAATTTTTGCATGTATGTTAATTTCGTTTCAATGATCTTACATGACAGGATACATTCAGCTATTCAAGATGCTGACTGGATTAAAGCCATGCAAGACGAGCTGAACGAGTTCGAAAGGCATAAGGTTTGGACTATTGTTCCCAGACCATCATGAAAGACCATCACCGGAACACGTTGGGTCTACCGCAACAAGGTTGATAAAGATGGTATTATTACTCGCAACAAAGCAAGACTTGTTGCTCAGGGTTTCACTCAAATTGAATCTATTGATTACGGGGAGACTTTTGCTCCAGTTGCCCGCATTGAAGCAATCAGACTGTTCCTTGCATATGCTTCATACATGAACTTCATTGTCTACCAGATGGATGTCAAAACAGCATTTCTTCATGGTGTGTTAGAAGAAGAAGTGTTTCTCAAACAGCCCCAGGCTTTGAAGACAAAGAGCACCCTGACTATGTGTACAGACTAGATAAAGTTGTATATAGACTGAAGCAAGCTCCTAGGGCCTGGTATGAGACACTGACATCATATCTTGTTGAAAATGGCTACATAAGAGGAGCAATTGATAATACTCTCTTCATCAAAAACAAAGGCTCATACATGATTCTTGTTCAAATCTATGTCGATGATATCATCTTTGGATCTCCAAATGAGAAGCTGAGCAAGGAATTCGCTGAGATCATGTCTCAACGGTTCGAGATGAGCATGATGGGGAAGATTACCTTTTTCTTAGGTCTTGAGGTTCAACAACAAAAACCAGGTATCTCAATTTGTCAAAGTAAATATATTACTGACATGCTTGTTAAGTACTCTCTCAGCGACTGCAAACCGGCTTCTACTCCGGTGTCCAAGACTGATAAGCTACACGTTGATCCCACCGGCACTGATGTTAATCACTCTCTTTATCAAGGAATGATTGGATCTCTTCTCTACCTCACTGCAAGTCGCCCTGATATCATGTTTGGAACCATTCTCTGTGCTAGATTCCAAGCTAATCCCAAGGAGTCTCATCTCATTGCAGTTAAATGCATCTTTCGATACTTAAAGGCCACTCAGAACTTGGCATTGTGGTACCCTCGTGACTCAACACTTGAACTCTTTGGATACACTAATTCCGACTATGCAGGATGCAACTTCGACAAGAAGAGTACGTCAGGTGGATGTCATTTCCTTGGAAATCGACTAATCAGTTGGTCTAGCAAGAAGCAAACCTCAGTAGCTATCTCCACTGCAAAAGCTGAGTATGTTGCAGTTGGGAGATGTTGTGCTCAACTCTTATGGATTCAGAATCAACTTTTAGACTATGGGCTTAAATTCACAAAGACTCCTATATACTATGATAACACTAGTGTCATTCAGATCACACAGAATCCGGTTCAGCACTCAAAGACAAAGCATATCGAGATCAGACATCACTTCATCAGAGACAATGTTGAGAAGGGCAAGGTTATTCTAAAACATGTCAAGACTTCAGATCAACTAGTTGATATTTTCACCAAGGCCCTGGATACTCAAACTAATGCTCACATTATTGGAGAACTTGGAATGATCACTCTGGATTGAAAATGTTTTACTAATGTTTGCTATTGTCTTATAAACTAATGTATTTTTTTTTGCTAATGATGATGTGCTGATGATGTTTACCATGCTGAGTACATTGTATGATCTCTTATCTCTATCTCTTCTACAAATCTTCTAAACTAAAGTTGAATGATTCACTGTATTAAACCATACACTGATAACAACTTGAAACTCTTTGCCGATGGTTAGACAAAACACCAAGGTCTATCACACGCAACTATCCCTTCTTGCCAATCTTACACTGATTTTGTGATTCAGTGTGACAAAACACATGCTGATGAGAATCTAACAGTCTTTGCCGATGGTTAGACCAAAACACCAAGGTCTATCACACGCAACAATCCTCTCTTCACCTTCTTCTCACTTAGTGTCTAATGATTCAGTAAGAAGCACCACTCACTGATATAGACTCAACACTCTGTGCGATGGTTAGATAATTAAACCAATATCTATCACACACACCAACCACCTTGCTAACCTTAAACAAGCAAGTTGTACCTTGAATTGATGACAGACTATCTTTCAGCATGTAACTTTTCGTGACACTGATCTCAGCGCTTCCGCAGACACTGATTGTCGTTTCCTCTTCAGTACAACGGCTCTTTTTACCCAACGACTATTTTTTTTGATTTGACAGTCTGTTAAGACACACAATTATTTTCGATAAAGATAATCATTACTTTAAAAAAAAACATTTAATCCCATATTTAAACTTTTTCCACCTCTCTCCCAAACCTTCCTCCCATCATTTAAACTTCCTTCTCTCTCTTCAAAACCCTAGAATCCAAACTCTCTTCAATGGCGGCATCACTGTTTACTTTCTCTTCAACTTCAAGAAGAGTCGTCCCAGCTCCAAACTCTCTTCCTCTTCCCATATACACCAAAGCCACAAATGTCATTTTCAATCCTGATATACCAGATGTTCATCGCGGTCTTGGACTTGATGATTTTGTTGATTTTTTAGTATTCTGCAGACTTCGATACGCTATCAGTGAGGTTCCATCAGAGTTCTTTCCCGAACAAGTATGTGAGTTCTACTACACCGCAACGGTTAATGATGAAAACAACGTCATCTCCGGCACTATTGGGCGTGGCCGTCGCTCAGTTTTCATTACCGCTGATCTCCTCAGTGTTGCACTCAGGTTACTGATTTTTGAACCCTTCTCTAAGCTTCCAACTATTGAATGCTGTCGACGTCTCTTTGATCAACTGGGCTATGATCACTCGAAAGCTGGTGCTCGATCAGCTCTCATTATGCGTCAATGTATGACTCCAGGATGGAAGTTCTTCATCGGGGCACTTTGCAAATGTGTGGGTCACAAATCTCGTAGTGGTGATCAACCGAGTACTTATAAGCAACAAGTTGTCTGTTCCCTTCTTCTCAACAAACGTCTTGATTATGGGGCCTTCTTCTTTGATCAGCTTGTCCAACTTCTTCATGCCAATGTACGAGCTGATCATGTTCCATTTCCACGCTGGATTGCTCTTGTCCTGGATAAATTTTTCACTAAAGCCTACTACTTTCACTCTGGAAACCCCATCCAATGCCCACGCATGTCAGTACGAATGTATCAGGATGATCCACTGGCAAATGACATCGGCATCTCTGATCAAATTCAAGAATGGATCGCAAATCCATATATCATTCCTTCACTAAACGCTGACACTGACGAAGGAGCTGATGATAACAACGAAATTCATGTTGATCTACAAGCTAAAATGCAAGACAGTGGTCATATCTCCCCTCAACTTTCTCATCATACTATTTCTGTCACTGAAAGGGTTCACTCAGCTCAGGGAGAGCAACAATCTCAGGGGAAGCAACCATCTCAGGGGGAGCAACCCTCTCCGGGGGAGCAGCATCGATCACAAGAAATTCCAGGTACTCAGCTCATTCAAATCCTGGCCTCAACGTTTAATGAGCTTCTTACACTGACTCGAGACATGATTCAGCGTCTTCTACATATTGAGGCTGATGTCAACCAACTGAAGGGAGTTCTTCTGTCAACTCTTTCCCCTGGCCCAAATCATGATGATGATCAAAAAGGGGGAGAAACTGATTTTGTTGAGCTTGGATCTGAAGAGATCATTTTAAACTAGACCGAGCCACCACAGCCTGTGCACGAGTTTGATAAACTAGCAGAAATTGAAAAGCCTACTAACGAGTCTGATAGACTAGCAGAGACTGAAAAGCCCATTGAAGAATGTGAACATGATGATGAAGATGAACAGGATGATAAGTGTCAGATGCTGGACATGAACTTCATTGATCCCACTGTGCCAGTTCAAGGAGAAGACTCAGATGATGATGAAGATGAACTAGCAAGTGAGTGTCATATGCTAAACATTAACTTCATTGATCCCATTGTGTCAGTTCAAGGAGAAGACTCCGATGTAGTTAGCGAGGATCTTCAACCTTTATCTCGCAAGCGCAAGGCAGTAGATACTGAATTTTCTGATTCACATACTGACACTTCTCTTCCCAACAAGAAATCTAAGTCTATTGTTAGCATATCCAATTTGGCAGCTGAATGGAACATGTCTCCTGATCAAGTTAAGCAAATCCTTGATGAAGCCAATAAAGCTCAGCTTCTAAAGAATATTGCTCAAGCGGATGAATCCCTCATTCAGCACAAACTTCAGGCCAAAGGATCATTTAAAGCTCATCTGCAAAGGTTTTTAGAATATCAGTCCAAATCTAAATCTTCACAGCCTCCTCCCAGTAGCATAAAGTTAAGGACTGATAGTGTTCTCGACAGGATTGATCGCAAGAGGTTTCAAGATGTTCTTAAACGAAGAGTGAGCAATGATAAGATCATCAAAGTTAAAGCCTCAAAACCTCGTAACGAGAAAATTTTTACTTTGCTGATCACTCGTCAAGGTCCTCAACATCCGTACACTGAAGTTGTCAAGAGAGACGAGCTAATCGGATACGGATACTCTAAATGGATGGAATTGCTCGAATTAGCATCCAAGCAAACTTCAACTCTTTCTTCAGAACTGACCTGTGCTCTTCACTTACTGATCAAGAAAGTTCAGCGTCTTGATCTTGTTCATACACAGCATCCTCAGCAGCAAGGACCAAGTTCCTCAGTTCTAAATATCAGAAGAACTAGATTTCAAGTTGATAGTGAAGATGTCTGGTTCTAAATTTTGGTGCTGAAGGAATAAACAACTCTCTTCCTATCGGTGTTGAGTCGGTTCAACATAAGTTCATCTCTGTTCCTGAACATGGAATGTTTTATCTTGATAAGAACAGGAAAATGTGTTTTCATCGTACTATAGAAATTCCAAGGGCTCTAATAGAACATCTTGTTGGTTTAAGACAAATATGCATGAGTCATCAAGATCTCTCTGGAGAGTTTCACATATTGATTGCTATGGAGTTACTGAATAGAAGACAGGAGCTTCTGGATAGTCCTTACCAGCCAATGAAAGTAGAAGCTGAAGCTGAGTATGAAGAATTTTTGTCCAGAGGTGTTCTAGTCTAGCTGGTTTTGAACATCATCATATTGGGGGAGATTGTAAGGTCGAACCTTATAATATGATGATGTTTGAAACTGGTCACTCAGCGTCAGCACATAACCCAGCGTCAGCATACCAGTTGTTCAGTGTATAGTTTTATATTCAACATTTTGTAACAGATTTAATACTTATCTTGTTTCCATAGTTATCGTCTATTAGTTAGCTGGTATATCCCTGATTTGTAGGGATTGCCTAGATTAATTCTATATAGTCTTTTTGTACAAGTTTGTGAGAGATCATCTTTCACAAACCCTAATAGCCGCTTTGTGCATTCGATAATCTCTTTGTGAGATTATTATTCGTAGTGAAAGTTCTTTGTGAAACTTCGTTGTTCTTGTTGATAGTCATTGTTTGATAAATTGTTTGATCTAAGGTCCTTTCAAAGATAAATATTTAAGAAGATTTTATGCAACATACTACAATAAAACTTTACCAAATGGGGAAAAATGTCATAGAGATTGGTTTGTTTAAAGTAAAACTTTACCAAATGGGCCGAAACCCTGGGTCTTATAGATAAGTGCCAGGAGTCACCTCCTAGTATTACATGCAAGCATCACAAAGACAACTAGTATATATTCTGCAACTACTTATCTACTTAACTACCAAAGCTTACACTTTGGTCTTGCATACAAATTTGCCAGGAGCCACCTCGGGTCTTTCATACAAATATCAAGGGTTACCACCTAGTCTTCTTATAATACATAAGACAATAGACTGACATTGGTGCCTTCGACCCATAATATAGTGATGAGACTCACCTCAAACCACAATAACCAAACACTCAAATTGTTGCTACCAGAACCCTCGTACTACCATTTGCAAATAATATTTCATCAATAATTGCTTCCAATCCAACCACAAATTTTAGACCAATAACCAATCCTTCAGGGTAAAAGTACATTTTATCCTTTTCCTTACTTTGCCAAAATCCAAAGACTAAACCACAAACATCATAAGCCCAAATCCCTTAAATGACACCACAAGGCCCAATAAGGCCCAAATATCCAAATTGGGCCCAAACCCATCATGGACTTAACCCAAAAAGGCACAGTATCATAAAAGGCCCAAAATATCCAATGATCAACATTTATCAAACTTCTGGTCAATGGTCAATGGTCAACATTTCAAGAAATTACAAACAGGCCAAGTACATCCCGCGTACTCAGTTGGTACTCCCAGCATACATTCTTTAGGGCCAATACGCTTAGCGTACTCCCCTGAACCCCATTCTACTTCATTAAGCACTTAATCACGTAAGCCCTTGCCTCTAACTCCCATATTTGATTCGTATGGATGACTTAACAAGTAAAGTTTGATTGAGTCTTCAACCTTATTATTCTCTTAAACAAACCACCATAAACCCTCTTCCAAGCTCCAAAACTCACTAAAGGCACTCTAGGGTTTCAATGTATGATAAAAGGGGTGGAGGTTGCCCTAAAACGACTAGAGGAAGGTTATAATGTTGCTTATATAGGTGTAAACCTTGAAATTAGGGTTTGGTGTTGAAGGGAGTATGCCCCGCGTACCCCTTAGTACGCTCGGTGTACTCATGGACCACCCGCGACCAACTTACCCAGTATGCCCCGCATACATATCTTGTACGCCCGCGTACTAGATGGCCCTCCAAAACCCTAAAAATTCATTAAACCCTAACTCTTTCGTCTTAAGTTTGTTTCTAATGAAATTTATATCCACATAAATGTGACAAGAAGCCCTACGCTTCTATCAATCCACTCTTGCCTTAAAACTTCCCAAACAAGAACCCAAAATTCACAAAGGCTAGAACTAACAAATTATAATTTCACACCGACATCCAAACTTTTCAATGTAATAACAGGAAAGAATATTATAACTCCTACTTCCATGATATTTGCACCACTCATGGAATACACATGCGTTTTTCGTGTCCATACACCTCTCAAAAAAACAGTAAATCCAAGCACATGTTTCGCACGATTAATAACATCATTCACACTCTTCTTTTCCAAGCTTACTTACCCCCCCCCCCCCCACCTATTGGGTCAAAGCTCTTCACATGGCCACTCACCTCCTCAATATCCTTCTATCCACCACACTTCAAAACGACTCCATATACCACAAACTATTCCAAAATTTTCCAAAATATAATAACCTTTGTGTTTTCGGTTGTCTTTGTTTCCCGCACATCAACAATACCAACAAACTTCAACATCGATCTATTTCATGCATTTTTCTCGGTTACCCTACCAATCATAAAGGCTATCATTGTCTTAACCTTCAAACAAATCAAATAATTATTTCCCGTCATGTAAATTTTGATGAAACCATCTTTCCTTTTGGTTCCATGACACCAAATCAATCACCCAATTATGATTTTCTTCACATCAATGACGCATGTAACATGTTTAACCATCCATCTCATCGAGTCCAACCACTCATTTCTCCAACTGATAACCCATCTTCCGCTACCACCTGCTCTGTTCCTGACCCAACATCTTATTTCGTACATGTCTCTAGTTCAAATCTTGTTTCTTCCTCTCCTGTGTCTCGTCCACCTCGCAATACCGAAAATCCTTACCTTCGGCTCATTCACTCTCGGATATTTTCATCTTAATCTCGTGTCACAGTTAATCTGGATTCTACCAGCACTTATCCTATGACTACTTGTAAGTGTCACAACATTACATCCTTTCGGTCAGAGTTCACCATGCATGATTTAGGAGCTCTTAATTTTTTTTCGTGGTGTTGTCGTTACTCGTGACTGCCATGACATGTTTTTTATCTAAGCAAAATATGCCCCAAAGATTCTTGAACGTGCAGGTATGCTTAATTTCAAACCCACTAGTACCCCGACGGTCACTTCCACTAAGTTTGATGGCACCGACCCCCTGTCTCTGATCTGACCTTATATCTCAGTTTGGCTGGTGCTCTTCAGTATTTAACATTTACTATACCGTATATTATGTATGATGTTCAGCAGGTGTGTCTCCATATGCATGTTCCTCGGGAACCCCATTTCACGGCTCTCAAGCATATTTTACGTTACCTTCAGGGCACACTGGATCATGGTCTCCAGTTATACGTTTCTCCATCTCGGGGCCTTATTGCTTACCCTGACGCAGACTGAGCTGTCTGTCCATCTACGAGACGCTCCACTTTAGGCTATTGTGTTTTCCTTGGTCAGAATCTACTCTCTTGGTCGTCTAAACGACAAGGTACGATATCTCAATCTAGTGTCGAAGTGTTGTATATGGGTGTTGCGAATGTCGTGGTTGAGACATGTTGGCTTCACAACCTTTTATGTGAATTACTTTATCCCCCTCCTATTGCTACCTTGGTGTACTATGATAATGTTAGTGCGGTCTACTTGTCTACGAATCCGGTTTAGCATCAACACACTAAACATATAGAGATTGACATTCATTTTGTTTGTGATCAGGTTGCTATGGATCAGATTTGTATCATTCATGTCTCCTCCTCATCTCAGTATGCTGATATCTTCACCAAAGGATTACCGTCTGCTTTGTTTCTTGATTTTAGATCTGGTATGAACGTTCGATCAAGATCTCATGTTCAGACTACGTGGGGATGTTAGA